ACATAGAAAGGGTTAGGAATTGTATCACTGAAGTCCTATTAATATGCATATTGTTTGTTTACTGTTGCTATACTACTAAAACGATGAGTATTTTAAGTTATTGGCCCCTTTCGCTTCCAATGTAAATCCCTTACTGTATCCTAGATTTGCTGTTTTAAAGGAAAATAATTCTTGAAAGAGTTCATTTAAAAGACAACTCTGGCGCAAATTGAACCTTTGGTCTAATAACACACTGGTATCTTGACCATTATCATTAAATCGAATGGAAATAGTTTTATCTCTAAAAACTGTTTAGCTTATAACACTAGTATATAGGGGCATAGAGTAATGAAAAAATAAAAATTGCTAGTTAATACCACTAAGGCTCAAAATAGCCCCACACCAGCACAGTAACATAATGAGGATCCCTACATGCAAAACGAAGCATTGAGAACTTTGTAAGTGTACAGACAGTTTAATAAGAAGATAATTTATAAAGACAGTTCACTTCACGTAAACAGGCAGGAGCCATCTTTGGAAAACAGTCTCGACCAGTCGAACCTTGAACGCCATTCACACAGTTCAAGAAGTTCGCTGAACTTCATACAGTTCAGCTCACTTAGCACCGCGTTCGTGGTTCGACTAGTCGAGACTGTTTTCCGAAGATGGCTCCTGCCTGACCTCCACTGTCTTTAGTGGTATTAACTAGCGATTTTTATATTTCATTACTGTAATGCCCTATTTACTAGCATTATACGCTAAACAGTTTTTAAAGATAAAACTCTTTACATTCGATTATCATGAAAACAAATCTCAGAGGTACCAATATGTTATTAGACCAAAGGTTCATTTTGCGCCGGAGTTGTTCTTTAAGGCTAATATTGAACACAACAGATTTTCCATTTTCCAATTTGGTCTGTTCACGCCTCAAATATGCATAATTGCAATGTTTGCAAATGATCATGACTGAGAATATACATATAGCTCATGTTTAAAACGATGAGAGAAACTCAAAAAGCTCACCAGCGTCTGAAGGGCATTCACCCAGCAACTCTGCAATTGTAAAACACAACATTAACATACAGAACTTTGAGTAATATTTACAATAATACCATTATACATAAAGAGTAATATTGCATTTAAAAATAGATCTTCAATCTTCAGTCATTTAAAATAGATCTTTTACGTACAAGAATACTTCACTATAAGATCTTACCGTCTATTTTCCTAATGGACAGTGGTGAGAATATTTCATCTATGTGCGACTCTCTCACAGCTGTCTTGCATTCTTCTGTGGACATTTTCTCAGTATAGTTGAAGAGATTTTTGAAGTTTTCAGGCAACGTCACTGTACTGTCTGTGAGATGAAACTGGCCCATTTTGTCTTTAGGATTTGGGACCGGATCCATCTCCACCTTCAGTGGTGTAAGAAGCTCTGGAAGTGACTGCATGTGGACCATGGGCTTATTTACCTGTGGTTCTGTAGACACAACACAATGGAGTTCAAGGACTAAACACACATTATGGATATAAACCAGTGCAAGTTTCTCATACTATCTACATTTCCACATTACCAGCAAGTAAAGACTGAGACACACATTGGAGATTTTTCTCTGCCATCCAAACGGCCTTTTCCATATTTTCACAAAGACTGTCTGACATGAAATGCCTGGGAAAAAGTATAGTACAGTACATATTATTAAGTCTAAGTATAGTATTAAGTATAGTACATATTATTTCCTGCATCATGAGAATGATTATGAGTAGTGTTTTCATTGATCTTAGGTCAACATGAAATAAAAACAGACCATTTTACTTTATTAATTCCCATGCATGGTCATGATACTATGTGAACAAATCAACGTTGCACATTGTTCCTTCACAATATCCCCCATTATTGAAGCAAAATTTGTTGGCTTGAAAAGTGAAAACAAACCTTTTGTAGATGTCTACATGATGCAGTAAAGACATATTTACTGCAAACAAACATTCGAAGCCTTCTCTCCTTGCTATAACAAATGCAACAAACTCACTGCTTATAAACTGGTGACAGAAACTCAGCTGACAGCTTTCTGCTGGACATAAGCAGGTCTGGTAGACACGGCGTACGATTAACAAGGTGAAAGAGGCAGGTCTAATTCCATCTCAGCAGAAGACCAAACGAACTGGAATGAAAGGTTTTGAAGTCATTGGAGATTAGAAGAGCAATCTACAGAAAGAAACACTCTTTGATTATGATTAAATATGAACAGTCAATACACACCACCTGGAGATTTTGGCTCCTTAAAGGTCATGTTAGCAAAGCTGCTTTCAGCCATTTGCAGGACTTCTAACTCAGTTGTGCGTTTAATAGCAGAGGTGGCTATTTAAAAAAGAAAAAAAGAAAAAAGATGATTTTGACATTTTATAAAATACAATGGCCCCAAAAAGTCACACTTATAAGTGTAAATGTCAGCTTGTAATTGCATTAGATAACAGAATATAAAAGCAAGTGGCATTTAGACTTTTCTGAGAAATGTTTGCAATGACTTTCAATCAACTGGTTTTTAAACAGTGCACTTATTGTTTTATTTAAAACCTAACAAATGTATTTTGTCAAATGTTTTGCTTGGAAATGCTTCATATTTTGTGATCTAATGCAATGATAATCAGATGATTTTAAGTGTGACATGTTTCCAACTACTCTCAGAGGCTATTGTATTTTTTTTTTTTTAAGTAAAGGTCAATTTTTACCTTCTTTAAGAAGATCTTTTACGGGTAAACATTCCTCTATTTGCTCTCGGGTGACATTTAGAAAATCTTGCACATTTGCAATGGAAAAAATGGGCTCTGGTCTTCGGGAGGAATCCATACAAACTTCATCAGGCAACATTAGTGACTGTAGAGAAATCATAGGCTGGTATATTTGAAATACTAAAGGCGCTTTTCCACTGCATAGTACGGTACGGTACGGTTCGGTTCGGTACGTCTCACTTGTGGTGCTTTTCCACTGCATGGTACGGTACACTACGGTTCGCTTCAGGTTGCTTTAAATGGTACCTGGTCTGTTGAGGTTCCAAGCGTACCGTACCGGTAGTAAAATGTGACGTGAAACACTGCAGATCACTGATTGGTCAGACAGAATCGTCACTACCAGCGTCACTAGCGTCATTGGATTTGCGACACGAGACACTTTTTTTATCAGTATTTTTGTTTTGCTGCCATCAGCCTCATTTTAAACACATTTTTCCGTCTAGCAGTTAAAAACAACCACATACCGAGAATCAGGAACACCATCCCCTCAATAGTCTCCATTGTTCCTGTGTTGTGGGTTTGAAAATGTGGCGCTTTTAAGATGATGTCATGGCAGTAGAGGCGCGCGCAAATAACGATCAGCCCCACACACTTTGAAGGGGTACTACTGCAGTGGAAACGCAAAGCGATCCGAACTGTTCCGCGCCGAGTCCAAGTGTACTGAGCCAAACCGTACCGTACTATGCAGTGGAAAAGCGGCATAAAACTTCTTCCAAAGCTGCAAAAAGCACAAACAATAAAGATTTTTTTCATTAACATGATTCAGTTTTGTAGTTCACCTCTTCGTTCAGTACTGCCTCTTTTTTGAACTCCTCTGTAACATTTCCTCCGGTAAACGTGGCGCCCGTTACTTCATCTAAAACTGCATCGTATGAGTCACAGTGTCTATGAGAAGGAAATATAATTTCAGTGCATACAAATGCATAATAGATTTTTTTAAGTTCCCAGACTTTTCGTTGGGGCTGTTTTTAAATTTCTTTATGGGAGAAAGAAATATTTTGTATGTTGTACCTAAAAACAACCTCTTTCAAAAGATTTACTGATGAATTGAGAACAGGATCCGAGACAGCCATGATCTTCAGCTTCTGAAGCATGGTTTGAAATGGAGGCATGTGGCTTTTGAACCGCTGCAGATGATCCCCGAATATCACCTCCTCTGGCAGAGTGAGATCTGAGATTTCGGAAACAAGTTAAGAAGGATTATCATCCTTCCATTGTAAGACTTCTAAGGACCAAAAACGTATAAAGATCCTTTTGAAATCCCTTTGAAAGCAAGCCATGTGATGTGCTGGGAATTTTTAGTACACATCTACCCCTTTTTTAGGTACATCAAAGCCAAAAATATAGATGAGTGATATAAAAGTGGTGCAGTATACAGAAGTGACACAAAAATATAAACAAAATATACTCTAAATCCTACCATCACTGGTAAAGCAACGTGCATCTGGCGTACATGGACTGAAAGTCTCTTCCCAAGGTGATCTGATGGCACTGCTCTCAACTCCATCTAAAAGCCAGAGGACTTCTGAGGTCCCAAGACTGCACTGAGAGGCAGGATTAGAGCTGGGAACCACTTCCTCTAGTCCTCTTCCTGTCTGCAACACATTGAACCTAAACACAACACAGTTCAATTTGAAGAACTTGTTGTATTTGAACACAAGTGAGAGATATTCAGGGAACGTTTACACAACACTTTTTTCCAACTAAAAATGGAAAACTTTTTTGCATTCTGGCCGTTAATTTACACGCTAACGGCGTCTTGGGGGCCTGGACCCGATGACAACGCAGCGCTGAAGTGCCAACTAGCCTCTCCCAATGGAGGATCCCTGGCCTATACCACTGACTCTACAGATAAAGCGATGAGGAAATTTCGGTTCACGTACAAACCGCAAAGTGATAAAATAAAATAAAATTCAGTATCAAAATTCATAGTTTGCAAGTAGTTTGTTTAGGCATGGTTTTTAGGGAATTACAAACCAGCGCACAAAAAAACTTGCATATTGTACCTTTAAATTATATGTTTACCTCTTGTAAAACTGCTTTGAAACAATCTACATTGTTAAAAGCACTATATAAATGAGGATGACTTGATTTGACTTTAAAAAACAAGTTTTTGAAAACTATACCGTTATCGTCCCCATGTAAACAACAAAAACGTGAAAACGATGACGTCATGCACATTCATCATTATCACATGTTCAGTTTATAGCAAGGTAGTGTTTCTTTAAAAAGTGACATTGCCAACACTTGGCCTGACCTGCATAATCCAGCGTTTTAGTCATTATTGCGGATCCGTGTAAACGGGGATCGTTTTAACAACGTTGTCTTCTCTACGCAAAAAGAAAAAAGGAAAAAAATTTCTGTCTTAGTAGATCGTTGTCGATTAAACGTACCCTTACTCTCAGCTGGGTGTGGACACCATAGATATGTATGGCTAGATGTGTTGTCCGCGCTGCTGCCCAATGGAGGTCGACGTCAGCACCTGGCGGCCATCTTGTCACAGGCAGCTCGCTCACTGGTAACATTGTTTTGATGGTGCATGTACTTTTTAAATCACCGTAACTTGCTCAATTTTCGACCGATTTTCAAACGGTCTGGTTTGTTATAAACGGCAGAGATGTAGTTATGATACTGCATACTTATGAATAATAAGTGTATAAATAAATAATCATCCAGAATTATAGCCACGTTAATAACGTTTGTAAGAAACCAAACCGTTTGTAAATCCGATTTCAACGAGATAAGAGTATTTCTTACATCAGATACCACAGAGCCCGCCAGAAAGCCTGTCTGTGACAAGATGGCCGCCGGTCATCACGATAAATACTCCGCCGTGACACATCTAGCCTTTATATAGATATCTATGGTGGACACAATCTGCAGACACAAATATGAAAGCATATCAAAGGGCATTATAGAAACAGTTCAAACCTTTCCAAACAGTCACTGAAGCGTATGTTGGCCTTCAAGTAATCCATTACAGATCCAGTCACTTGTAGCGTACCCATGGATATTTTGTTCTCTGTCATAAATGACAAAAGTCAGTGTTGATATGTTATCATAGAATATAACAAAAGGTATCTGGGGGTGAGATAGCAACACGGATGAATGTAATGAAAGTAAATTTCCTATTCAGTAAAAATCTTCTCCCTTTTAAATCACTACATCTCCATTCTCCATTGCATTACACAGAAAAAAGAAAACATCTTGAGCGAGTATTTTATGCCACAATTCTCATTTTAGGCCAGAGGTCTTTAATCCTGCTCCAGGGGACTCGCTGTCCAGCAAAGCTTATTTCCTAACTGGTTCAGCACAGCTGACTGTGATTTTCAAGCGACCCTGAAGAACTTAGCCGGTACCGTTGTGTTTGATAAGGGTTGGAGCCAAGCGTGCCGCACAAGCCCTCAAAAGTGAAGCCAAAACATCTCGATCGCCCCCCTGTGACCGGACCTAGTATAGCTCATAACCCCCGCCTCCCCATGTTATTCAATGGGACGCGAGACCAACTATTACACTTCACATATCCTTTTTCCAAAGATAGTTTCTGCCATTTACTGTAGTTTCTATCACGTTGATGTAATTTCAAGTGTTCGTTTTTAAAATAAGTTTGTTTTTAGTTAGTTATGTGATGATAAAAAGGTGCTCTGACATCATGATTGACAGCTGTGATTGACAGGTTCTCTGTGCGAGGAGATAGTCACTGAAGCACCAGCGGACTTTTTTTTAATAATGTTGATTATGTGGTTAGTAGTTGTATTTACCTTATTTTAACGAGGTTCTGCAATCAGCAGACATCATTGGAGAAGAACGAAGCAGACAGAGGACACTTAATGAAAGCGTTTGATTCAGCGAGAATGAGGGCGCGGCCTTGATTTCGCGGCTTTACTTCCTGCTCACGACTGCGCATGACTCTGGTCCCGAAACACGCAAGTGCGCAGACTCAAGTCCCAAGATGTCAGCGTCATATCGAGACACTGGCGGCTTCAGTTCTCTCTGATGGAAAAGAGCGAAGGGGCGTCGTCCATCTTATTTTACAGTCTATGGTTGGAGCAAGTTCAGTGCTCCCCAGGAGCGGGATTGAAAACTTCTGTTTTAGGGTAAACAAAATTCGTCCGAAATCTGAAAAATGCTGCCTTTGGAGGATGCATGCCAAAGGCACATCCAAATCCAATGTTAGCTAGCTTCACCCATCTATATAAAGGCTAGATATCTCATTCGCGCTGCTGGCCAATGGAGGTCGACGTCAGAACCTGGCGGCCATCTTGTCACAGGCAGCTCGCTCACTGGTAACATTGTTTTAATGGTGCATATACTTTTTAAACCACCGTAACTTGCTCAATTTTCTACCGATTTTCAAACGGTTTAGTTTGTTATAAACGGCAGAGATGTGATTATGATACTGCATACTTATGAATAATAAGTGTATAAATAAATAAATAATCATCCAGAATTATAGCCACGTTAATAACGTTTGTAAGAAACCAAACCGTTTGTAAATCCGTCAAGATTTCAACGAGATAAGAGTATTTCTTACATCAGATACCACACAGCCCGCCAGAAAGCCTGTCTGTGACAAGATGGCCGCCGGTGATGACGATAAATACTCCGCCGTGAGACATCTAGCCTTTATATAGACATCTATGGCTTCACCACCCGCAACTTTCAGACGCCATCTTTATTTTTCAGCTTAACTGTCACAGAATGAAAAGCACGGGACTGTGGGATATCAAACGCAGAGAAAGGATAGGTTACATCTATGCTGCCTTTAAAAGTCGATCAGATGAAGGAGACAAGAAGTGGAGCTAACATTGGATACGGACGACCCTTGATGCCTTTCTACCTTCTGAGGGCAGCAGTTCCACAGCCAAACTTGCCACACTTACTCCATGGCACTCGGTAAGCGATGTCTGACAGGTGTCCATTGTGAGGGTAGATGCTACTGACTAGCTGGAACGGAACCGGAAGTTCCAACATGTCCATCATCAGTCTGCATTTGACTGAGGCCTAAAACAGATGACACCTCAATATTTAAAAGTTTGTGAGCTTGTTAAAGTGTTTCATGACTTATTGTACCCTTATTCTGATTTTATATTATTACCCCCTCCAGAACTTTTGAATAATTTATTTCCTCATCTTATATAATATAATTCCCTTTTCTGTTTTATTTTTTGTTAGAATTGCTCATGTTTATTCAGAAAAATACATCTCAATTTAAGTTACCTAGTGTTACATGAATGAAAATCAATGTAGGAACTCACCTCAGAGAGGTAATCAATACCTTTATACCTCACAGTCATGAAACTTGCACTTTGTTGGGTTTGACCACAGGAATTAGCCATGGTGTGGTTATTCGTTGATCTTGAAACAAGAAATAACGCTAATACATAACAATATAACAATCGTCTCCTTTGTTGTGGATTAATCTGAATCTTTATGCGATTGGGAGTCCAGTGTCAAAGAAAAGCGCGAACTCTTTCCTCTCAGTTGCACGGAATTATGGAAAATGAAAACTGCTACGAAATCCGATGTGGCCTGTCATACTAGCTATTGGGAAATGTCGGCTCTTTTGAAATGACGAACGAGGACAAAAAGATGGATTACTAAAATTTCTAAAGGATTTAAGAGTTAAACGGTCACCTGTGTAATTAAAACTGATCGTGACTAAAGTCTGAGGTGAGATATTTCTGGCGCGCTTTCAAATTCACTCGGTCTCGGTGATTGACAGGACGAGGAGCAAGAAACCACGCCCACCGAGCCTTCTCTCATGATAAATCAAATACATAATATCTAAAAAATCTCATATGCTATTACACACACACATTTTTATATATGTGTGTAGTGTGTTTGGGGGGGAACAATGGTAGTACACTGCCATCTAAAGGACATATTTACGTTTTTAAAAGATTATGTTGTTGTTTTTATAATCTTCGTGATCCATTCTTGTCAACACTGTGAAAATCAATGCACTCTGAACAATATTTAGGTTAAATATAGACATTGGGAAACATTGATACTTGGACCTTTTTATCATTTTTCTCAGTTGGTTTTCATTATAACAAAATACCTACTATAATCTACAGTTATCTAATATAACTGCAAAGTGAATCTTAATGGATGTTTCTGACTGCATGAAAAGATGACTCAATATAACTTGGTATCGCAAACAGTTCAGCTTTATTTCAGAACAAAAGAGTCATGTTTATAAAACTGGAGAAAAAAATCTGGGACTGGACTTTTTACAGTACCTGTAATAAAAAAAATTCAGAAAATAATTTGACAGTGCTTTTAAAGTAAATACAAGGCATTAAAAATTTGATCCTGTCAATGCGATCTCACCAGCTGTACCAGTATCCTATGACAATGACTGAGCCAACAGCACTTATGGATCCAACAGTTACAAGAGCAGACATCTTCATGATGTAGGATGTTCCTAATATGAGAAAAGAAACGTCAGGTTATTTTTTACATAGAGTTTGCAGGTGGCACAAAGCAGTGTTAGATTTATGATCCTTACCTCTGGCCTTAGCCCAGATTACACAAGACTGTGTTCTAGACTAATAAAGAAAACACAGAGAGAAGTTAAAGATAATTTTTAATGCATTCATTTTGCAGGTTGTCTTAAGATGTCTTCCCACCTTTCCCCACTGACATACAGTGCGGAGGATAATATAATAGTCTTTTCCGTTTTCCAGAGGTGCGTTGAAGAAGTCTCCATAGAGCTGCTGATCCCCGACAGTGAAGTTCAGTTCTGCACTCAGACCGCTGAGCTGGATCTGGGCCGTGACGTACCCTCGGTCACATCTCTGCTGCGAGAAGAACCGTGGACTTGCAGACGAGCTGCAGTCAAACAGCATCACGCCCTCGACTGGGAACACAAACACCTGGTACATACTGAAGACATGAGACACAAACAGACATTCACATCAACTGAATATTGAAATATCCAGTATATACAGTGGGATCAAATTGCAAGGTTTTTTTCTAAACCTGTAAATAAGCAGTTATAGGATTTCATATGCATTTTTGGTAACACTGTATTTATTGGTTAACATCAACTAACAAAAAATACTTCTAAAGCATTTATTAATCTTAGTTAATGTTAATTTGAACATTTAATAATACATTATTTTAATCAAAATTAGGGCTGTGAAACGATTAATCGCATTCAAAATAAAAGTTTGTATTTACATAATATATGTGTGTAGTGTGTATAATTATTTTGTATATTTAAATACACACATATGCATGTATATATTTAAGAAAAATGTGTTATTAATATATCAAATATTTATATTTATGTATAATATTAATTTTGTATAAATATATATAAAGTACATACATGCAAATATTTATTAAATATATACATGCATGTGTGTGTATTTATATATAAAAATAATTATACACACTACACACATATATTATGTAAACACAAACTTTTATTTTGGATGCGATTAATCGCGTTTAATCGTTTCACAGCTCTAATCAAAATGTGTATCTGTAATACTATTTGATGTAACTAAACTTTAGTAGCATGTACTAACATTGAACAGTTCTCATTTTTTAGTTCACATTTTCAAAATTACTTATGCTGATCATGTAATTTTTAATGAAATCTTTTGTTTTAAATAAGAAAGAATGAGATGCCTTTTTAAGTCTGGTCTTAGATATTTGAATACACTGCATGTGGCATTAACTTTTTATTAGGCATTATTTGGCATTAACAGTAACACTTCACAATAAGGTCTCATTCGTTAACATTAGATAATGTATTAACTAACTTGAACTAACCATGAGCAATACATTTGTTACTGTATTTATTAATCTTTGATAATATTAGTTAATAGAAATCCAGCTCATGTTCATGTTAGTTCATAGTGCAAGAACGAATGTTGACAAATACAACTTTTGATTTTAATAATGTATTATGCTGAAATTAACATTTACTAAGATTAATAAATGATGTAGATGTATTAGTTCATGTTAACTAATGAAACCTTGTTGTAAAGCGTTACCGCATTAACTCTTAAGAAATGTTAAGCGTCCTTACCATATTGAGTCAAGTGTGTTGGTCGATCTCCGTAATCTGAGAGTGGGCGATGAAGCCTCTACTTCACTGTATGTGATTATTGGTGTGGGGGGGACTAGTAACAGAACACAAGTACAGTGTCCAAATCAATATACAAGGACAATGAGAATGAATTGTATTGTTTTGGATGTCAATAATCGCCACACAATGGACTAACCCTGATCCTAACCCCGTTCTAAGACCCTTATTCATCGTCTGGTGTCGTTTAAAGCCCTTTGAAGCTGCACTGAAACTCTCATTTGGACCTTGAACCATTTGGTTCCCATTGAAGTCCATTATATGGAGAAAATCCTGGAATGTTTTCATCGAAAACCTTAATTTCTTTTCAACTGAAGTAAGAAAGACGTGGACATCTTGGATGACATGGGGGTAAGTAAATTATCAGCAAAAGTTTTTTTTAAAAGTGAACTACTCCTTTAAAGTTGAGCCAGTGTAGTCTTGTTTGTGGATTATGGATGTTTGCACAAAAGCAGCTTTTGTTTTGTTTTGTACCTGGTATGCTAGTGTTTGCCGTCACTGTAGACGTGGCTCGTGTGGACTCGGCTGTAATTGTTATGGTGTAGTTTGTAGCAGGCAAGAGATTTAAACAGAGAACAGGAGACAGGGCCATGGAGCTGAACATCTTTTTTCTCCTGTCATTGAACAGCCGATCAAAGTCTCGCAATCCAACAAACGTCACCTGTGTTGAGATGTTACATTCAACCTCATTTCATGATTGAGAGACAACTTTGGGAATGCAACAGTGCAAAGATATAGCTGATGAATACTCACCGTGTATTTCTCCCTATATCCCTCATTCTCTGCATTCCAGTGCAGACATCTTTCATTAATCACCACCAGATCCTTAATTATCAGTTTTAGCTCTGGAAAACCGAGAATCAGAAGCAAATTAGACCAGATTTGATGTCAACACCCACTCTTTTGCTGAACAATGACAGTGTGTGTTTACCTTTGCAATGCAGAGTGGCAATCTGCCACTTTCCTGTGATGTCACATATTGAAATGTCACTTCCTGTGTGTCTGTAGTGTCCTTTAACACAGCGGTGGATCACTGCAGTGTTGTTGTCCCATGCTACCTCTGCGTGTGGCACCTTTGGTGCAGGGCCACAATGTGCTGTAGAGAGAAAACACACAGAAATGGTTATGAAAATGATTCCAGATATTGCTCTGAAATATGTTGATCCGAATTTGTGACAGAATATAAGGATGTGATTTTGATCTCTTTTTCTCATTGTAATTTGTCCTTGTGGATTAGTCGTCATAGGGTTATTTCTAACAGTCAGCTTAACTACAATATATATATATATATATATATATATATATATATTGAACATTTCCACTATTATTACACAGGATAAAAATAATAATTATTTAAAAGATGTTATTACACTAGACTAGAGTCAAGAACAAATTAACTTTCCACAACATTCTCTACGTGAAATGTATTATAGGTTAGCTCTTACGTGAATAAAGCCCTGTGTGATATCGTGTTTGTTTCATTGGACTAGTTACTAAAATATAGAACTTGTAATTGCTTCCCATGTGACAAATAAACCCCTGTAAAAATGCAGTATGTTTGATATGCATGGTATTTACAATAATGTTCAAAAGTTTGGGGTCAGTGAGATTTTCTTTTTTGAAATAAGTATCTTATGCTCACCAAGACTGCATGTATTTGATGAAAAAATAATTAAATAAATAAAATAAATATTACTGCAATTTAAAATAATTCTATTATTTATATTCCTGTGATGCAAAGTCAAGTCACATTTATTTATATAGCAATTTTTTTACCATACGAATTGTTTCAAAGCAGCTTTGCAGAGACAACAGGAAAGTTATGCAAAAAAGTTTGTTTCCAGAAGAAAAAAAGTGTTCGTTATTATATATATGAAGAGTTCAGATGCAAAAGCCTCTAAATGCCATTTGAAATTTTCTTCTTTAATGATGATTTTTATCAAGCTTGTATATTTAAGTTCAGTAATTTCACTTAAATGGCAATGATAATTACCTATAAATTGTTATTTAAGTGAAATTACTGAACTTAAATATACAAGTTTGATAAAAATCATCATTAAAGAAGAAAATTTCAAATGGCATTTAGAGGCTTTTGCATCTGAACTCTTCATATATATATATACTGTAGCCGCTCTGGAGTAAACCGCGATGTCATCGTCCAACTCAGTACAGGTCTTGTATAATAGTGTCATGCAGGCCGATCAATTTTATTGTTGAATATTAAATTTATTGTTAAATTTAATGTCCCC